GATCTCAGGTGAAAAAATGCCGCTGTTCAAGGTAGTTACGCTAGGATATGAGAGTCGTAAGGAGCCTTTTTGCTTAGTTGTGCTCCTCCACCAGTTCCTCAAATGTTCCATAATATCTCCTTTATCCCTATTGGTAGACCGTAAGTTCTCTTTGAATAGTTTCATAATTCTCTCTCATCCAGGTAATGTCTGCGATATGGATGCTTCCATGTTACTCGTCTCCCAGCGACATGGTCATCGTAACTGTGGACATCGCAGCTTGCATGGTCAGGTAGTGGTATTAAGCAATCATTTCTCGCAACTAATGCTCAAGTTATCCGCGAGTTGCGAAATCTCTCCTGTTTTAAGGTGCTCCGGATATGCTCATGATGAAGACTGGCTCAATTTGTTGCCACCCCGAGGCAAAGCTCCTTAAGACGCAGGCTAAATGAAAGCTCACTCAATTTTACTCCTAAACTCCATTGTCCTCGGATTTTACTCGGCTCATGTCTAGGGTACTGATATTGAATGTGTTGATAATGCATACCATTTAATGACGTACCCTGGACGTTATCCGACCTTGTATTTCTTCACTGTTGCATTTATAGATTCATTTGAGTTTGCTAAATTTTTAAAGTACATTAATATATGCATTTAGGAACAATTTATTGGATTCCTACCTGTCATCGACGACTTTGAAGGACGCAGGCGAGACCATGATCGAAATGATGACGATGAACACGATTATATGGACTCAGTTACTTGGATTTGAGGGAAAATGAATGAAATCAAGTTAAGCCTAGGTAAAAGCGACATAACCGTAATGACTACCATATATAGGTGAGCCAATCAAACTGGTCGAAGTGATAGAAAAGAACTTGAAGTACTTATATCTAAAAATAAGCTTCCTTTCAGAAGGACAACGAACCTGATCCGTCGTGCAGAAATGTGAAATGTGTCAGTTATTTGTCAAAACGCCCTCTGTTGCCGCCACCAGCGATGATGCAGTCACAACTCAATATATGTACTAGTCTCCAACCTATGCACAACCGCAACTAGGACTATGTGCCTCCTATCCATGCACCACCTCCACAGGATTCTCGACTTATCAAGAAGCTACGTTAGCAATAATCATTATAGTAGATTTTATTGAAAGTTGCAGATTCAGGAAGGCTGGGCCCAAATATTGATCGTACATTGTTAAATTTATATTTAAGTTCCAAGTTCTAAAATTTGCGTGCCAGGAAAATGCGTTGCTAAACGTTGGGACATTACGATATTCAATCATAAAGCGTTATATTATGTGTAAATTTGTGAACTCTTATGTTAAAAGATATATACAAAAACGACGACTCTCCTGCTCTACACGTTCAACTAAATGGGTAAACATAATTCAACTGAATTGACAAAAAAATTCTGAAGAAGATCTTGAAAAGATAAACCTAGGATCATTTAGTAAATTTTTGAAAAAGATGAAAGAAAACAGACTAAAAGTGACTTAGCTGAAAATACCAGATAAAAAATCAGTCTTAGCTGCAATTTTTTGTTAGAAGTGAGCTAGGTATGCGTTTAATCCTTCTACGGAGCTTGTCAATTGCACATCTTCCATCATTTCATATTAAGCTTGGTAAAGCGAAAGGAAAAGGCGTCTACAAGTGAGCGCTCGCTGTAGCGAGAAAGTTATTGGTGAATTGAAACAATCTTTGACGCTTTGCAATTATAAAAACTTGCTGTGACCATAAAAGTTTGTCTCAAACGGCTAGCGTATCGTTTACTGCACCGAAGTAGGTGTATATGTGTATTTCGTTGTGTAGAT